ATATATATATATATAATTTAAAAAGTTTTACATCAAAAAGTAAATTTTCAATTTTTCTGTGTAATTATTAGATAATACCCAGTTGATTCAGTAACAATAAGTATCAAATTATTTGATATTCAATTATTCAGCAAACCTCTAATCTATAATATGGCTAAAAAATTTGTAATTAAATTAAATTATACACCATTGTTACCATTAGTGTCTCAATAACAATGATTAATCATTAAAAATGATTTAATTCAATAAATGATTTAATAAATTAAATAAATGATTTAATTAGATTGATTACTCAATAAATCACCTAAAATTGTTTTTGCTTACAATTATTTTTAGAAAATAACGAAATTACTAAGAAAATTAGTAATTCAGTATACTTGATAATAGAACACAAAGGATAAAAGATTAAATAAAATGAATATGTATAAATTAATGTGTTGGATTAAGGCATTAGAATATACTTTTATTTATTGAAATTTTATAATTGTTACAAGACTTGATATTTGATAAAATAATATATGTCAACTATATTTTCTCTGAATTTCTTTTATTTCATAAAGTTCAATTATTTCCTTTATCAATATGCTTTGACATGATAGGATTTAAATTTAAATAATGTATTACTAAATTTGTGTTAAAATATTTTATTTAAAATATGGCTTATATTTATAAAAGTATAAAATTTAGTATTTTTCTTCATTTGTTTGTCAGAAATAACATTCTCTGAATTATTTAATTTTAGCGGGAAATACTACACATATTATTTTATCGTCATTCTTAGTTATAAACTCCCACTTAATGTCTACACTCACCTAGAAGATAATAAAAATGATAAATTTTATGATCATGCATATTTTCAATAATTTTATTAGATATATATAAAAATATTTTTAATAAATATGTTTAATAAATTAAAGATAAAGAAGATCTTATAAGATCTTATATTTAAATTGTCTTATATTTAATTTGTTCGAAAATGTTCATTAACTAATCATTTAAGATATAATTAAAGATTTATATCAAATCGGATTCAAATAAAATCTAGAATCTAAACTATAACAGTAATAAATATAAAAAGATCAAATATATGAATTTTAAATGCTAATTACCGCAGGATATTGCTTCTGTACAAAGAGCGTGGTTGTATAATGATATTCTTGATCCTTATGTAAAGGACAATCGACTCCATCGTTGGTATCTTTGCAGACATCAGGTTTATCAAATGGAAAAGGTATCGGAACAGAATGTAATACGCCAAATATACGTACATTGACTTGTGAAATATCTTCATCTATAAAAAAAATGTACAAAAGGTAAACATCTTAAATAATATCTGTTTCCTTTGAGAAATATTGATCCAAATATTTTCAATATCGTTATTTTAAAACAGAATTATTTATCGTTAATTTAAAACAGAATTATTTAATGGATGTATTAGATACACAAATTCAAATGCATGGTTCTCGTACTCACTAGGTATAAATTTAATAGATATAGATTCGTAAGTTCCGCGTGTTAAAATACATCTGGCATCAGTTGATTGACAATTCGAAACTGATACTTCCGTGAATTTGCCCAATGATGAGCCTAAAATGAATATACATAAATAAATATGAGTTATTAAATTCTAACTATACAGCGTACACAAATACATCAAAATATATGAAATATGTTTAAAGAATGTATGCATATTAAATAATTCAAAAAAGTAAACTATTGTTTAATTTCGCAATGATAGGGTAAAACTGCTGCAAAATTAAACTATTCGATTTAATAGTATAAATTTCCTTTGAGAAAAATAATTGATACTATAAATAAACCAATTTGTTAAATAATAAAATAAGATTTCTCAAATATTTTATCTTTTATTATTTTTTATAATTATTAATAAAGATTCTCTTCAAAAAAATAAAAAAAATCAAATTATATTTAGCAACAAATACTTGATTAAAAAATTTCAGAAAATTTGAGTATATTTATTAACAAATATAATTTAATTAATAAACGAATATTTAAGTTCAATATATCGTAACAAACATTTCACATTAAATTTTATTATATTTTTTAGTTCCTTATAGAAAAGTTCCTTATAGAAAAAACTTTTTAAATAAACTTCTGATGTCAATGACATCAGTGATATGTTTCGTACTTTATTCTGTTTTGTTATGTGTTATCTCAGAAGATAACTCAATCAAATGGTTACATAAAATGGTTTAAAAGGTGCAAGCTAGCATTGAAATTTTCTCGATAAATATATCATATTCATTACTGATAACATAATCAGACTTTTAAGTCTTTGTGAACATGTTAGAAATACTAAAGTATGTTTTCACAAAAAAAAGACTATGTAAGAAATATTTATTGCTATCTTTTTCTAAGTAAAAAATTGGCTATTATGTTATGAATTATTTTAAATAAAAAATGAATATGTAATGAAATGAAAAAAATGGAACAAATAATACAATTAAAGAAATAAACGACATATATATATATATATATATATATATATATATATATATATTTATAGTTTGAAATAGAAAAAGAAGTAGAAATGATGACAATAGTTAGACGCGATAGATCTTGATATCAAGATAAAGAAAAACTGTATCAAATAAGTATCTATATATTTGGATGTCTTATAATTTCTGATGCACTTCTCGTGAACAAATAGAATGATTATGACTGAATAACAAAATCTTCTATCATTTTGTAATTTTCGCAATAATTAATGAAATATTAATTTATAAAGATTCGTAAATTAACGTGATATGAGTACACCTGATGAAATAGCTTAGTGTTACATTCATTCGCAGTTGTTACAAACATAGCGAGATGTCTAGAGGTGTGCGTTATAAACGGATGCTCTGTAAATCACATCTTTAAATATCTTGTCATGCGCCTATAGCAATCGTGGATAACATCAGGTTTCTTCCGCGTGTAGATGCAAACTCATTCGCGGATTTTTATAAATCAATATCTCATCACTAATTATTATTGAGAGAGAGCTCATCACTAATTATTATCGAGAACATCGCAAAATAAAAGATACAAAATATCCTCCGCTCTATCTGCTCACAGAAGATATATACCAGGAATTATGAGATGGCCAGTATATGAAAATGTATACATTGAAATCTGAACTCGTTGAAATTAGATCTATTTGGTTATTACATATACATGGCATACATATTACTGCTCATTATTTCCAAACAGACATATCTGTTGAAGAGACAAACAAAGAACAGATAAATTTGAGAAGAAGAATGTGTAGCTCTTTTTGTCTCCTTTATCTTTAGAATAGTTTCTTTCTCTTCAGAGTTCAATACGAAATCTTTGCCACTTTTAATAACACGATAAACAATTATTTGAAAAACATAACATTTTTAAAAATAATTATCAATTGTTAATTATAACTGATAAATTAATGACAATTAATTTAATTTTTCCATTTTATCTAAAATCCCTTCGGAATTATAATCTTCTATAAACAAGTAAAACAAAATTGACTGAAAACACTCTTTTTACATTTTAATCATCATTATTATTATTATTATTATTATTATTATTATTATTATTATTATTATTATTATTATTAGTATTATTATTATTATTAAATAACATTAATCTCATTCTCGGCGCATTTTTATCGCAGAATGACTTTCTTCCTAATCTCACCACAAATTTTCTTCTCTTCTTAGCGATAACAAAATGCATACTCACCACAATCCTCAAATGTGACGGCGAGACAAGACACCGAACACAACGCATAGTAAAACGCAAACGTGACAACTGCTACTCGACTCATTATTGACGTTACTCATACGGCTTCCGCGGGGCTAATGACGACCATTGCCGTTGCAATTGTCTTAAAACGCCTCATCCCTCGGTATGATATCTAACAAGAGAGCGCCTCTGATCGGCTTTCGTCGCCAAAGTACCGATCGAGCTATTCAAAAGTATACTACCTTATGAATACTTTTTTTTTTATACTAACTGCTTGCTCTACAACGAAACTTCTTTATAATATTTGTTATCCAATATAATACCCTAAATAATAATTTACTTAATATAATACTTTAAATAAAGAATTATACTAGTATAAGTGATTAAACGAAACGGTAATTTTTACAGCATTAAATAAGACTTCACAAAAATGTATATTTTAGAATTGGCAAATTTTTCTTACTTTATATTTCTATAAAAGTAAAAATAAAAATATAGAATTAAAATAAAAATAAAAGTAGAAATCGCTTTCTAATACTTTTTATCTTTTTGTTATGTTGAAAATAAGATTACATATTAAGAATTAAAAGATATTTATAGAATATTAAAATAATATAAATATCTAAAGATCTTTTCTTTTATCGTTTATTTTTTTTAATTTTAATTTGTGAAATTTTTGTATCGACATGCGTTAAAAATGCAGCGAGATTTATTATTTAAAAAATTGTAACGTGTTTACTTCAATACTAGTGTACAATAATATATCATAGTCACTACAAAAATGCCAATTGCACTTAATCCTCTTATGTAATCTTCGCCGGGAATTTTATACATATAATTTTTTCATCTTTTTCGTTTCTAAATTCCCACATAACGTCGACACTCAACTAAAAGAACAAAATCAATACAATAATTAATAATTAAAAATTTTTTATTATGTAAATAATATATATATATATATATATATATATATATATATGTGTGTGTGTATGTATTAATATTAATAAAATAATATATTTTATTATATGTTATACGTATGATTATACGTATTAAAATATTTGGAAAATATGTAAATTAAATATAAATTTCTTAAAAAGAAGAAATTCATGAAAACAAGAACAAATTTAAAAAATAAAAGAAAAGAACAGATTAATATTGAGATTTAAAAGCGAGATTACCGCGGGGGCCTTCTTCTCTACGGTGAACGTAGCTTTGTATTCAGCTTCTACATCCTTCTTCAAAGGACATTTGAGTCCAGAACTTGGTTCCTTGCATACTTTCGGTTTTTCTAGGGGAAAAGGCACGGGTACGTCAAGGATCACACCAAATGCATGCGCTTCAACGTCCGAAACATCTACGTCTGAAAAAAAAATATATATCAATAAGATCTTTGATTAATATTTTATGATAAAATTATAATTTGAAATTCTAAATAAAGTTCGAATTTTGAATCGGTAATTATCTCTATTACATTTTTCTTACACAGATTAAGATTTTTAAAAACAGAAGTGTAATTGAAACATAATTATTTTACTAACTTGGCACAAATTTGACGACCACGCTTACTTCAGAACCACGAGCTACCGCGCATTTCTCGTCCGCTGTAGTGCAGCTCGAAATTACGATGTCAGTAAACTTGCCCACTTCGGAACCTAAAGTAAATTTAAAATATTACGCATTATTGAACTAATCAATATTGTAAACTTAAATATGCATCAAAAATATTTACAAACACACATAAATAATTTAAGTAAAAATTCGTAGAATTCTAGGTGAAGATCTCGCTCTTTTTATATTTGCTGCAAACATACGATACAATAATAGAAAATTACATAAATTGCAACGCGATTACATGCTATCGGACGACAACATGTATAATTATATAGCTTAACATGTAATATTGCTATTAGTTTCCGTTTATATTGTTGAACCTTCACATTGTCCATTATATTTTTCCTCTAATTAACAATAAAAATCAAACGATTGATAATTCACTAGTAGATAGTACACCAATATACCAATACAATAATACATCAATGGTGACAGAAATTTTTAACAATTTAGAAAAAAATCTGAATCAGTTTACAGTAACAATTCTGTACAGTTCTTACATATTCAGTATTATTAAAAAATCAATATAATCAATTTTAATTCTTATTCGTACTTATTCAGATTCTTTTCTCCAAAGAAAATTATTTAAAAGTTATTATTTAAAAATTATTAAAAAATATAGTTTAAAAATTAAATTTATAATAATTAATCTTTTAAATGACTGAGTTGAATATTTTACCATAAAACTTTTTGCCATAAGAAATAATTCTAGAACTTAAATAATAGCAACATGATTTTTATCAGTATTGTCATTGTATGAAAAAATGGAAAAGAATACATCTAACACAAAAATATTCTAAAATTATATGCAAATTTGATTACAAATTTTTTTTAATTTAGAGACAATTTTTCCATATAGCAAAATTAATAATAACTTAATTAATAATAAATTAATAGTTTTAATTATGCATTAATAACTAATTAATTAGTAACTGATTTAATAAGTAACATAAATTGAATAATAACGGGCAGTCTCGGAGAAGAATAATTTTTATATTCTTGCAAAATAATTTTCTAAAATTAGTAAAATGCATACCACAGTCCTCGAAAACGAAGGCAAAGGAGGACGTTACGCAGTGTAGAACATACAATAGCGAAATAGCAAAGCTAATCCGCGTCATGATGCTTCCACGATTTTCGCACCGATATTAACAATGATGCATGCAACCTCGCACCTAAATTTATAGGCACATCGCAGCTTACCTAACATAAGAAGGAACGTAACTTATCTCATTACGCTAATGATAGTGGAACTTATTGTTTTCGCAAATATCGTCGTAAATGGCTTGGTGTAACATCGTTTGTATCGAGAAACTCTATCGAGCTCTTTGTCATAAAAAAATTATTATAAAACAAAATATGTGCTCAATTATTTCTTAAATACACATGTAAGATTAAAGTTATATATTTATTTTATATATTTAATTATATAAAATTATATACAAAAATGACAATATAAATCTATGAAGAAATCTATTTGCTTTGATAATAAATAAGAATCATACATTTAGAAATAAATTATGTCTAATCAAGAACAAAATCACAATTCTAGATACATGATTAGTTATTGATTTGCTTTAAATATGATTTTTAGATTCTATACAGATCATTTCATTGCTTAAGGTAAAATTTTAAATCTTAAAAAATTCATTCTATTTCGAGGTAAACTCTAAAATCATATTGGGCCAAAATAAGATAATTTTAATATATAAATATATAAATACATAAATATAAGATCAAACCATGAATACAATACTTAGATGCCTTTTGAGTTCCCATGCGAGTAGTATCGGCTGAGACGCAAGCTTTATCATGGTGTTTAAGTCGCTTCCGCGTCGTGGCGTTGCAGGACTCCAATGCCAGCATCGGTCTTGGAGGAAGTGACGTGTTTTGACAGCACATCGTCCACGTAGCGGTTCGAGTACTCATAATCGTAACTCGTACTCGCGCATATTGGTGTATAGCAGTGCCTGTTAAAAGCGACACTTCGTGCAACGTACTCGAATAACGCGTAACGAGTGAGTATTGCATCTCTTTCATCGAAGTATTTTTTTTTATACAAGTTTTGGTCTTCTCTCATGAGAAAAAGTTTCCGTAGTGCAGTTTCTGTGTGAAAATTCGTGTTTTCTCATATAACCCACATCTCACTTGTCGCGTTTATACTTAAGAATTTATTTTGACGTCAATGTGTCTTATACAATGTGTAAATTGAAATATTGTGATATAGATAGATGTGACAGTGTTATATAAAATAAATGCTTGATACTTTTCTTTTACTTGCTACTATATAAAAGTTAAAAATAGAATTCTTTTTCGTGATCCAGATTTTATTTAACTTCATTAAAGACATCTTATATAGATTTTTTTGAGCAAGTATATTGTTCACCATCCTATTGATGAAATAACCATATGATTGTATGTAAGATTATCTTAAATATAAGTTTGAATTTTATGAATATTTGTCATTATTATAATATGTGATTATTCAATATGGAAGTTTGGAAAGTCTGTTTAAAAGTTTAGAATATAATCTGGATATTTATATTTGATTGATTGGATATATTCAATATTGCTCTTAAGTAAATTATATTTTCTTTACAGATTCTTAATCGCTATGGATCAAATCAAGAAGCTCACCGAACCTGGCCGTCAATTTGCCAAGGATAGCATTCGGCTTGTCAAAAGATGCACCAAGCCAGATCGCAAAGGTAATTTAATTTTTATTATGCTATAACATATAAATGAGAATTGTAATGGTTAGTCATAACTTATTTTTTATTTATTAGAGTTTCAGAAGATTGCTATTGCTACTGCGATTGGTTTCTGCATAATGGGCTTCATAGGATTCTTTGTTAAACTAATTCACATTCCAATCAATAATATCATTGTGTAAGTATTTGCAGGAATCTTTACCTTTAATATTAATCATTCAAGAAAATATTTAAATACGTTTCTTTTTTTTACAGAGGTTCATAAAAAATTAATCTCGAAGATTTTTATTCCTAAGGAAATTATTGATAAGATTCCGATATAAGACTTCCGTTGTTATATCCCCTTACTATTATTTATAACGTAAAAATGTATTGTATACTAAATCGATTTTATAATCGATTGAGTGAAATAAGTGAAAGACGTGTGCATAATATTAGTGAATTTTGTAATAAAACAGTTATCTAAAAAATTACTTACCTTCTTTTTTATAATTTATATATTAACCTATATAAAAAATAAGAAAAAAGATTTTAAAATATTTAAGAAATACAAGTAAAATATCTTGAACGTAGTTCAAATAAAATTTAAAAAATATATTCAGAAATTTTAGTTGAAAGTAGAAAAATATAATTAATAATTTAAATAATGTCTTCTTTATGTACTATTTTCTTTTATGATAAAATTCCATTTAAAAATAAAAATTTCTATATAATTTAACACAAGAGGGAATTCTAAAAATTCATTGATTAGTATCAAAGGCACTTTTATTTAAAGAATAAAACTTTTCCTGTTATAATGATAAAATTTTGTCTTGCCGTTTTTCTTTCTTGTTCATATATAAGATGTCAATTAGAAAAAAATTCGTGAGAAAAACAGCCATGTTGCATGGAAAACCATAGCCAGGTACTGAGTAATATATATAAAAGTCATAAAATAATGAACTTGTTGGTAAAATCTGGCACGTATTTCTTTTACTATTTCACAATTTAACACTGCTCCAAAAAGCGGCGCTTATTTCCTAAAAAAAGTTCCTCGATAAAATATGCTGATAGAAAAGAAAGAAATAAACGAGACTTAGATACTAAAAGCCACAGTATCTTAGTATCCGGGATCTTAGTATTGGCAGTATTTAAATAATAGAACGGGACTATTAGAATCACGATTAGAATCATGAAGCGCAAATGTAAATTTATCGAAGCGCTTTTTTAACGAAGTTCTTTACATCGGAGCTGTGTGTGCATATTAACTTAATTAATAATATTAATTTCCAATTTCAAAATAAAACATCTTCCAATATATATCTGATAACTTTTTAATAACATACACATTAAACTATTAAATACTCTGTTCTGGCAACTTGATAAAAATTCTATAAAAAGAAGGTAATATTTCTAGCACCATTCACATGTCACTGTCGTGTGATACTGGCATGTCTGCCATTTTCTCTCTTTCGTGATTTACAGATTAAAAAGTCATACTCGGATTTTACATAATTTCGTAAATTCCGTATATACTGTCGAAAGAAAAGAGAGAGAGAGACTTAAAACGCGGAAGACTTTGTCCCGCTTTGCTCTGCTTGCGAAGCGTCGGAAAAGTTTCTCGAGTTTTGATCATTCGTATTATCATTAAGAATCATTTTATCAATTTGTAGCAACACTCCAAAGAGGGGAAATCGTTTAGTCCGCGAATTTGTATAAGCGTTTTACTTCGTTAATTAATATAATTACAACATTTTGCTAACGATCAGACTAACTTTCACAGATTATGTGAGAAATCATCTTATAAGCGTAGCCCAAAGTGTGTTTGCCAAATTAAAAAATGAACTAATGACGAAACTCGAAGGAAGCTTTCAAAATTATTTCGAGATACAATACTAGATACTAAAAATAGATTTATAATTATAAGAAAAGCGGTATTTTAATAAAACAAAGTTTCTTCTTAGTATCTTAACAATATTAAATAGTTCTAAAGAATATTGTATATAGAATTTGCTCAACAAATTTGTAAGTCGTTATAAAATTATTATTAGAAGACATATTATATTGTGCTTTTTCGCAGTTTTCTTTGGCATTTTTTTCCCTATCTGTTTGTGTGTAATATGTTTTCACTGAAATTTGATCCAAAATTTTACTTGTGATAAAATGTCAATTTTGCAAACGCACTGAGGGAAGATAAAACAAAGCTAAATTGAGGTATGTCGTTAGGCACATAATTCTCGGTTCTCCAACGAATCTAATATGTAATATTCGTCATGTAATTAAGTGTTCATTAACTGTTAACGGCGTGCAATCGTTTGCGTGTATATATATATATATATATATATATATATA